TATTGCTACTTTACACATTCCATTTGCAATAATACCATATTTCTCGTCTAATCTTCTCGTAAGTTATGCCGACAGATAGACCCAAATAGCAGATCTTAATCTATGAAATTTCATAACATAGAGCTTCAACGAATTCTCATTACAGAACAGATTTCAGTGCTTCTAGGAATTCTCATTAACTAAAAAAATACCAAAAGAATTTAGACATATACTAGACAATAGAAAATCCAACTTTAGAAGAAATAGGAACAAGCAATTTAACGAATCATAAGGTATTCACAAAAATTATTCTAGCGACTGTAAAAAACATGGTTGCAATCAGAAATGAAAAAAGTTAGAAAAAACACAGATATAAATAAATTATAAGATACCATTTCCAGAAAAAATTGATAAAAAAAACATCAAAAACGACTTCGAAAAATCTGTAAGATTTACTTACTCAGCATTATTTACTTTGGCAAATCCTCCAACAATTATACTGTAAGTCACCAAACTTACTTCAATACCTTCTTCCTTCATTTTCCTAACACAAGACAGTGCCTCTTCCATATCTCTACCAACTGCATAGGCGTGAATAAGACTGCAAAGAATAAATTATCTCAATGTTTGTAGAATGAGAAATTAACATATACAACCCCAAAAGTGTGAGAATGCCCTTGACCTTTTCTCGGAAAAGTGATAACCTAAAGGCATGAAAGAAAATATGTATAATTTAAAAAGCAAACTTAGTTTTCTATAAAACGAATCTGCCAAAAAACTGCCAAATAGTTGGCATTAACAAAAAGAATCTAGAATTTTTAAGATTATCACTAAGTTCTCAGATTACTGACCTATGAGCTTGATTAAGAGCATCTATAAGATTATCACACACTTTTCCTTTGAGCTTATGCGGGATGCTTGATGAGGCTAATCTCTATCAACCAAGAGTGCTTTCAATGAGAAGAGGCAGATTCCTGATGCTTTTCTTATTGCTAATAAGGCATTTTGGAGGAAGACCAGAGGTCTAGGAACATAGACAATCTACAAATAGGCTTTTGCATAAGCATACAACTGACTGGACTAGGATATCTTGGATAAGGTCGTGGAGAGGAAAGAATTTGAAATTAGAAAGAGCACTTGGATTTTGGGGTGTCTCTCCTTCATTTACTTTGATTCTTAGCAATTAATAACCTTAAATCCTAGTCTCAAGGACAATATGTGTTGAGAGAGGGTATCCTTTTTCTTCTTTTCTCTTCATGGTTACGGTTGATGCCTTGAGCCACATGTTGTCTGGAACTAAGGAATTATGCACTCTTAAGGGTAGTGGTTTTTCCACCTTCAGTTTGTTGATTATATGACTCTTTCTCTCTAATAATCATGAGACTTTTTGCAGTGTTCTAACTGTTTTACATATGCTTGAAAGTATTCCAAAAAATCATAAGAGCATTGAGAGAGCTATGAGGAAGTTCCTTTTGTCTGGCTCAAGGAACTCTACAAAAGATCATCTGGTCAGATGGGAGGTTTGTTGTTTGCCTAAATGATTGATGGGGGTCTATGCATTAGGAACTTCTATTGTAAGACTTGTGGCTAAATGCTTATGGTATTCTCCTCTAGAAACTAATGGCTTGTAGCTCAGGCTATTCAATAGGTATGGTCAGTGTTAAAATGGTTGACATTCCTAAATCAATGTATCTACTATAAGTAATGATATTCATAATCTAGTCGAAAAACTATTGCAAATAGATCAAATTAAATTAAGTTTTGTCATGTCTTCGATCAAAAGAGGGGAGGACAGAAAACTTCGGTCCAGTCTGAACCTAATGGACCTAAAGTTCAAAATTTTATATATATATATTTGAAAATCAGCATGATTATGAATTGATACTAAATAAATTATTGCTTATCTTATTAATTTCATCAATTATGGATTTGATGAATAACTGCAGTTTCTGAATTTATCTTTTACTTTAATTTATTGATTTTGTAAAGGGTCGTGGAAGAAAAAATACTGAATATTTATTTATCTATTGTTGAAATGAGAATAGAAATATATATACATGTAAATAGATTCATATATGGTAACCAACATAAATCACCTTATTAATTATGCTAACATACTTGAAAAAATAATCATACTATTATGTATAGGAAATCTTTTATAATATTCTAATACTTCCTATCAAATTGGAGCATAAATATTAATCATTTTTTAAAAATAAAAAGAGAATATTATTATGTACAAGGTACCAAGGGGGTACCATCCGAATACCAACTAGTTACGTGCCAATCAAGTGGTCTATGACAGCACCAAAGTCCCACATGTTTTTGATATCATGACCCAACAAAATAGAGCCAAAAGTATTAATCCATCTAATTTTTGTAAAGTTAGTCTCTATACCCTCAAAAGCTCTTCCATTCCTTTCCTTCCAAACTACCCAAAGAATTGTAAGTGGAATAAGGAACAAATGATATTTCTTTTTACAAAGTCCACTCACGCCCACAACTCATTACTAACACTCCCAGCCATAACCCAATTTAACCCTAATAGCCCAAAAATAGAGGTCCATATGCTGTATGTCACTAGGCAAAATAATAATAAGTGATTGCATGATTCTTCAGTAGCATGGCATAAGTAGCTTCTATTAACCAGCACATTCCCTTTCCTTTTTAGCATATCCAGGGTCAAAATACAATAGTTGGTCGC